CTCAAAATAAATAAATAATAAAAAATTAAAAGTGCCAGCAGGAATCCTCCTCCACCTGACAAAGTTGTCCCTCAGAATTGAAGGAGAGATAAAGAATTCTCCAAACAAAAGCTGAAAGTGTTCATCACCACTACAGCAGCTAGAAATGTTCAAGAATGTTCTTTAAGCTGAAACAGGACACTAATTAGTAAGAAGAAAACACATGAAAGTATAAAAGTCACCAGTAAAAGCAAGTATAATTAAATTCAAAATACACTAATGTAATGATGGTGGGTACATCGCATAACTCTAGTATAAAGACTAGAAGACAAAAGTAGCAAAAATAACTGTAACAAAAGACACAGAATGATGGAATGGATTAAAAAAACAAGATCCAACTATTTCTATCTATAAAAGACTCACTTCAGCTTTAAGGATACAGGTACTGAAAGTGAAGGGATGGAAAAAGATATTCCATGGAAATGGAACAGAAAAGAAAGCAGGAAAGCCATACTTAACATGGGACAAAACAGACTTCAAGCTAAAGACTGTAACAAAAGACAAAGAAAGCCATTATATAATGGTGAAGGAGGTCAATTCATCAGATGATATAACATTAGTAAATACTTATGCACCTAATATAGGAGCACCTAAATATATAAAGCAAATATTAACAGATCTAAAGGGAGAAGTAACAATACAATAATAATAGTAAGGGACTTCAATACCTCACTTTCAATAACAGATAGATTATCCAGACAAAAAATCAATACGAAAATATTGGACTTAAACTATACATTAGCTTAGATGAACCCAAAACACACCGTCCAACAGCAACAATACACATTCTTCTCAAATATACATTGAATATTCTCCAGGACAGATCATATGTTAGGCCAAAAACAAGCCTTAATAAATTTAAGAAGTTTGAAGTTATATCAAGCATCTGTTTCAACCATAACAGTATGAAACTTGAAATCAATTACAAGAAGAAAACTGAAAAATTCACATATATGTGGAGATTAAACAACATACTACTAAACAACAAATGGATTAAAGAAGAAATCAAGAGAAATTTTAAAAAATATATCTTGAGACAAATGAAGATAGAAACAGAAAATACCAAAACTTATGGGATAAAGCAAAAGCAGTTCTAAGAGGGAAGTTTATAGTGATAGATACCTACATTAAGAAAAAGAACGATATCATATAAACAATCTAACTTTAACCCTCAAGAAACTAGAAAAAGGAAAACAAATTAAAACCAGAGTTAGAAAAAGGAGGGAAATAACAAAGATTATAGAGCAAATAAATGAAGTATAACCTAAAGAGAAATAGAAAAGACCAAAGAAATGAAGAACTGTATTTTTGAAAAGATAAAATAAGATAAATCCTTAGACTTACCAAGAAGAAAAAAAAGGAAGGATTCAAATAAATAAAATAATTAGAATTGAAAGTTGAGACATTCCAACTGATACCACAGAAATATGAAGGAGACCAGTATGAACAATTACCAACAAATTGGACAACCTGGAAGAAATAGACAAATTCCTAGAAACATACAACCTACCAAGACTGAATCATGAAGAAATAGAAAATCTGAGCAGATCAATTACTAATAATGAGATTGAATCAGTAATCAAAAACCTCCCAGTGAAGAAATCCAGGGCCATATAGCTTCACTGGTGAATTCTACCAATCATTTAAAGAAGAATTAATACCAATTCTTCTCAAATTCTTCCAAAAAAGTAGAAGAGAATAGAACACTTCTAAACTCATTTTATCAGGCCAGCACTACTCTGATACTAAAGCTAGATAAGGACACTACAAGAAAAGAAAATCACAGGTCAATATCCTGATGAACACAGATATGAAAATCCTCAACAAAATATTAGCAAACCAAATTCAACAGTTTAATTAAAAGGACTTAAAGAATCATACACTGTTATCAAATGAGATGTAAGTATGGTTCAACATCTGTAAATCAATACCACATTAACAAAAAGAAGGACAAAAATAGTATAATCATTTCAATAGATATCAAAAAAGCATTTGACAAAATTCAAAATTCCTTCGTGACAAAAACTCTCAATAAATTAGACATAGAGGGAATGTACTTCAACACAGTGAAGGCCATACAGGACAATCCCACAGCTAACAACATACATCATACATCATGAAAAGCTGAAAATGTTTCCTGTAAGATCAGGAATAAGATAAGGATGCCCACTCTCACCACTTTTGTTCAGCATAGTTTGGAAGTCTTAGCCAGAACAATTAATCAAGAGCAAGAAATAAAAATCATCCAAGTGTAAAGAAAGAAGTAAAATTATCTTTATTTGCAGATGACATATTATATCAGAAACCCTAATTCCACTAAACAACTGTTAGAACTAATAAATGAACTCAGAGAAGTTGTAGGATATGAAATCAGTACACAAAAATCAGTTGCATTTTTTACATTAAAAATGAACTACCAGAAAGAGAGATTAAGAATTCAATTTACAATAGCATCAAAAAGAATAAAATACTGAAGAGTAAATTTAACCAAGGAGGTGGAAGATCTATAATTGAAAACTACAGGACACTGATGAAAAAAACTGAAGACACAAGTAAATGGAAAGATACCCTGTGTTCACAAATTGGAAGAATTAATATTGTTAAAATGTCCATACTATCCAAAGTGAACTACAGATTCATTGCACCCCCCTCTCAAAATCCCAATGATATTTTTTTAGAGAAATAGAAAAAACAACCTTAAAGTTTGTATGAAACCACAAAAGACCCTGAATAATCCAAAGCAAATCTGAGAAAGAAGAATAAGGCTGGAGGTATCACACTTCCCGATTTCTAACTGTATTACGAAGCTATAGTAATCAAGGCAGTATGATACTGGCATAAAAGCAGACACATAGATCAATGAAACAGAAATAGAAAACCCAGAAATAAACCCATGTACTTATAGTCAATTAATTTTTTACAGAAGAACCAATAATATGCAATAGAAAAGGCTAGTCTCTTCAATAAACTGTGTTGGGAAAACTGGATTTCCACATGCAAAAGAATGAAACCTAACCCTATTTTATACTATACACAAAAATTAACTCAAAATAAATTAAAGACTTGAACATAAGATCTGAAACCATAAGATTCCTGGAAGAAAACATAGAAGGTAAGCTCCCTGACATTGGCTTTGGCAATGATTTTTTTTGGATTTGACACCAAAATCAAAGACGACAAAAGCAAAAATAAACACATGGGTCTATATCAAACCAAAAAGCCTCTGCTCAGCAAAGGAAACCATCACTAAAATGGAAAAACAATCTACGGAGGAAATATTTGCAAGCCACATATCTGATAGTGTAGGTGGTTAATATCCAAAATAGACAAGGAACTTAATATAGCTCCATAACAATAATAATAATAATAACTCAATTAACAAATAAGCAAGGACCTGAGTAGTCACTTTTGTCCAAAGAAGACATCCAAAACCACTGATTTTGATTCAAAATCATCCAAAAATCAATGGTTTTGATTAGCCTCCCCTCTCTCAGGATGGTTATTGTGAAAAGGACAAGAGATAATAAATGCTGGCTGGCAAAGAAGTGGAAAAAAGGAACCCTGTTGGTAGGAATGTAAACTCGTATAGCCACTATGGAAAACAGTTTGGAGGGTCCTCAAAAAATTAAAAATAGAACTACCAGAGGATCCAGCAATTCCACTTCTGGGTATATATCCAAAAAAAAAAAAAAAAAGAAAAGAAAAGAAAAGAAAAAGAAAAAGAAACCATTATTCCAAAGAGATATCTGCACTCCCATGTTCACTGCAGCATTATTCACAATAGCCAAGATCTAGAAACAACTTAAGTGTCCATCAACAGATGATTGGATAAAGAAAATGTGGTATATACGTGCAACGGAACATTATTCACCCTTAAAAAAGTTATGTACAGCAACATGGATGAACCTGAAGGGCACTATGCTGGGTAAAATAAAGCAGACGGAGAAAGACAAATGTTGTGTGGTATCACTTATATGTGGAATCTGAAAGACAGGGAAAAAAAAAGTCAAACTCACAGAAACAGTAGAAAGGTGGTTGCCAGGGGCTGCGGGGGGAGGGGGGAAGATAAGGAGAGGCCGGTAAAACGGTACAAAATTTCAGTTATGAGATGAAGAAGGTCTGAAGATCTGAAGTGTAACATGGTGACTAATACAGTGTATTAATAACACTGTACTCTATAAATGAAATTTGCTAACAGATTAGAACTTAAATGTTCACTTAAAAAAACAAAGGGGCTGGTAAAGCTGGAGGTCATGGATGTGTTAATGAACTCGATGGGGATAAACATTTCACAACATATATGTGTATCAACTCATGATGCTCTGCACTTTATATGTCTTACAATTTTATTTGTTGACTACAGTTCAGTAGAGGTAAAAAAGAAAGTTTGCCATTTACGTGACTTTATGGCAAGGATTAAGAAGTATACCTTCAGAACTAGAATTCAGTTTGCTTTTTTAAAGCAGTGTATTAATTATATTATTAGGAAGCTGTGTGGATGGTATCTTGGCTTACTGCTTTTCATTGTTCATTGAATTCTCAGGACATTAAACATAATACCTATAAAGGAGAGAGAGAAAGGAGGGCAAGATTTCCCACGTTCATATTTTGAGTCTTATGCAAAAGTATCTTCAACGTTTCACACAAGCCGACAGTCTCAGCTCTGGAGAAAGATGACAAAACTGCAAAAATCCACCATCCTCATTTTACCTTCTACCTGTAATCCTTTTTGAAAAATCCCTACAGAGAAAAAAGTCATTAACCCCAACGAAGTAGGAAATTGGCATGTGCAATTGCAGTGAGAGTTGGAGACTTCTAGATCCCTAATTTTCTATAATTATTATATGGACTAGTTAAGATCAGTGACTTTTCTCCCTTCTCATGATCCCCAACGTCCTCACTGAACTCCTTGACCAAAATTCTTTGATCAAGTAAATAATTTCAGGAGACAGTGGGTTTACCTCCGTACACGTTCCACTCTGTCATCTGTCCGAAGATACTTCTTGGCATTTTCTCCTTTGCCAAAGCCAGGACAGTCTTCTGGGTTGGCAAAAACCTATTCCAAATTCCAAGAAAAAAAGGTATTTCAAATGCCAAATAACATGGGAGTATTCTACCTGATAAGTTACTTGCATTTTAATGGAAGAAATACAGGCATCCAGGTTGGCCCTTATGAAAAGAAAATTTGGAGCTCAAACACGGGGAGGGATCTAGACTTTAAGCTTTTCCTAACAGTGCAAAGCATTTTTTAAAGAAAAGCATAAATAAGAACTTAAATAAAAACTAATGTATAAAAATAGTGAAAAGGAAGCAAAAATGGAAAAGAGAGCCTGATTCCAAGCCATCATTGACTATTATTATGGTGAACTGGCAGCTTTTTATAGTGATGTTGATGGAACTTCCCTCGCGTATTAACATTCCCAACTGGTTGGATCATATGAAAGTCTTTAATTTACTAACCATGGATGTTAGAGACCAGGCAAGAAGTGTAAGAGTGAGGGGCAGGAAGTGTATTTTGTACTTTGTCAGGATACGTGTATCTCTTTTCTTTGGCTGAATTAACAGATACTTTGGGTTGAATAATATAGTGAAACATAAGAAGTTGAACAACATTCCTAAAAATACCAAGTACGTGTTCTAGGGCATATGTTCACTTATTCCTTCCTGCAAATTATTATGCTGTTTGATACGATCTCCCCATCCCTTGAAACCTGAAAAATGCATTTAAAAAATATTTAAGTATGTTCCACTGTTTAATAATTTATAATAAAGATAAACATGAACTACAGAATTAGCCTAATTTAAGCTTAGAAATCCATAAATATTACACTTTTTTTCTAAATATGACATAAGCATTTATTTCAGATAAAGATGTTGAGGAGAACTGATGGGAAGGGACATGATACGCTATCAGCTCTTGAGATCAGCTCTGTCCATCTTGTTTCTAAATAAATGCTTGGCACATGCTAGATGTTCAATAAATATGTTTCAAATAAGTAAATAAATGTATTACAGTGGAAAGTGTGCATGGGATTTGAGTTTACAGCAATCCGAATTAGAATCTCAGCTTCACTCTTTATTGGTGTATAACCTTGGGTACACTGCTTAACCTGTCTGACTTTCATTCAGGTCCTCATCTATAAAATGGGGGGATTAATTCTCATTTCACATGATAATACTAACAATTGAATGATTTTGCACATACAAAGAGTATCACATGGCTCCTGGCACATATCACCGGCACTCCACAAATTTGAGTTCTTTTCTCCTTTTCTTGTAAGATGGGGTACATTTCTGCTATGCTTAGTACTACTCTGTTTCTAGAGGACACTGTGGACCCGGGGGTCAGAAGCCACTTTACAGCCTGCAGCTTTGACACCTGGACCCCTTGGAGACTTAAATATGTCTGTAGGTGCCCCCCCATTAAAATGCAAATATCCTTGGGAAGGAATTATACCTCAAGACAGTAAAAGGGAAATACCTTAAGGATGACAATAACCTCTAGATAAAAGCAAGTCTCTGAAGGACAAAAACTCAGGACAGGCACTAAGAGAGAAATAGGTGTGGGGGGGGGGCGCGTCAGTGGTTCAGTTGGTTAAGCATCTGACTTTTGATTTCGGCTCAGGTCTTGATCTCGGGGTAGTGAGATTGAGCCCCATGTTGGGATCTGCTCTGGGTGTGAGGCCTGCTTAAGATTCTCTCTCTTCCCTTCCTCCTCTGCTCTCTAAATAAATAAATAAACAAATAAATAAAAAAGACAGAGAGAAATAGGTGGTTTCCAGGAAGAAATTGCTGACTAGGGACAAGGACCACACCAGTGAAAATAGTTTAACTTTGTCAAGGTAGCTTTGTTCTACCCCCACTTACTGTGTTATAAACCCTGCTTGAGTATAGGATATAGTTTTCAAAATCTTTCTACTACCTTCCCCAAGTCTCCAGTTTAAGAAAAAATCATTCTTATGATGCTGGGCAGAAATAGCATCCACTTAAGAAGTCAGAACTACACAAAATTCAAATGCTTTGCCCCAGTCATAAAAGGCTCTACTGATAATAAGGACTTAATTCTATTCCCAAAGGTGTATCCTTGACCTGTAATAGAACTAAAAACACCAGCTAACTCTCTGGAAAATGACTATTTTCTAAACTCTAGCTGGCAAAATTAACTTCAAAATCATAGAGTTTTCTTGAAAACTTTGACACTCCAAGAATCTCATGTACTAAGTAGCATGACAAAAGGTAAAAGCCACAAGGAAAAAAAACACTTTACTAGCTTCCGGGAGAAAGTACCTGTTCCATAAATATGTCAGATGCATCTATACCAAATGATGGCATAATTCATTTGCAACATTAAACAATGTGCCATTGGGCTTTACCAAAAAAGTTTTTTAAAAAGTAAATTAAGAAAATTGTTTTCCAAAATGCCAACCCTTAAAGGAAATGATTGCCTCTAAATGTCTTACCTTTCTTGTCAATCTATAGAATGCAGTTGCAATACTCATAAACATCATTTTTGAAAGAATAATCGTTGTATAGGAAGCATAGGCCATGAATACTTCATTTTCCATTAGCTCAGTGAGGTCAACCATTTTTTCAATTTTGGTCTGGAATCTTAAAAAGAGTTTAGACAAGGGAGGAAAGGCAGACATAAATACCTCAAATAACCTTACAGTCACTTGGTGTACTTATATTGCAGCATTAACCATATTGTTCTTAAAAATATCTTGGGTTATTGCAGGAGAAATAATCTTTTCTAAAATTTCAAAATAAACAATATACTGTGGTTTTTTTTTTCTAGTTCTATAACATTAAGCTTGAAAGTATCAAACAAGCATGGAGTGAAAATGAAAATGTAAGGGTATGAGAAGCAAAAGTAAATGGGCAAAATGTGTAAAGATAGACTAAAATCCTATTTTTGCATCAAGATCAACCACAAGTTGGACACAAAAGACCAGAGTTCATGGATTGATCTCTTTAGAAACATTAAATTATGTACATAGTGGCACCATTAATGTTTGATTAGAAATGCCTAAGTTTGGAGAGCCTGGCTGGCTCAGTCATTAAGCGTCTGCCTTCGGCTCAGGTCATGATCTCAGGGTCCTGGGATCGAGCCCCACATCGGGCTCTCTGCTCAGTGGGGAGCCTGCTTCTCCTTCTCCCGCTCCCCCTGCTTGTTTTCCCTCTCTCGCTGTGTCTCTGTCAAATAAATAAATAAAATCTTTATTAAAAAAAGAAAGAAAGAAAGAAAGAAAGAAATGCCTAAGTTCTGGGGCTCCTGGGGGGGGCTCAGTCAGCTAAGCGTCTCACTCCTGATTTCAGCTCAGGTCATGTTCTCAGGGTCCTGACATCGAACCTCGAGTTGGACTGCGTTCAGTGTGAAGTCTGCTTGAGATTCTCTCTCTCCCTCTTCTTCTGTCCCTCCCCCCTGCTTCCACTCTCTCTCTCAAATACATAAAGTCTTAAAAAATAAAATAAAATAAGAAACACCTAAGCTCTAATATATGTCCTGCTTTAGAAAGCCAACTTATAGCTTTTTGTCATTTCAATAGTATTTAAGATTCCAGGCTACAAGATCTGAATTCCAGTCCCACCTTTTGGTTATTAACTTTGGTTGAGAGATTTGGCCTCTCTGAAACCAAATTCCTTCGTTTCTTTTTTTTTTAAAGATTTTATTTATTATTTATTTGACAGAGAGAGAGATAGTGAGAGCAGGAACACAAGCAGGGGGAGTGGGTGAGGGAGAACCAGGCTTCCCGCGGAGCAGGGAGACCGATGCGGGACTCGATCCCAGGACCCTGGGATCATGACCTGAGCCGAAGGCAGATGCTTAACGACTGAGCTACCCAGGCGCCCCCCAAATTCCTTCATTTCTAAGATGGGAATAGTAATAGTTCCTAACTTAGCGGTTTGTTGTCAGGATTTAATTGAGATAACATGTGGAATATACTTAGACTTAGCACAGCAACTGGCCCGTGAAGAACCCTCGATAGAGTTATTGTATCCTTATGATCATCATTATCACCATGATTATAGTCATCACTAATACCAACACAAGGAAACAAGGAGAAGCAGGTTAATGGAAACAAAATGCCGGGCAAATGCAAAGTAAGGAAGTGGCATTTACGGGACTCTTGTAGAGGGAATAAAGGAAGGAAGGTTAGCTTTACGTAACTCTTCACATGACTTCACCTTCCACTGAACGCCAACTGTCTGTCTGGAGTTGGAAATATAATTGGGAATGTACCCAGAAGGGAAGCTAAGGTATACTGGTGATACTCAAGTCAAAGTGGGTAGGGATTTCAGGTAAAGCTTAAAATTTAAATTCCCTACCTTACCTGGTAGCCATTCTTTTTAACATCCTCCTGTTCTGTTATTAGCTCTGCTGTCTGTTTCTTCTCTCTTTTCCACATAAACACACATCTTTTCTCACACCCAAGCTTCAACACTATTTAACCTGCTTAGCATGGAATTCAGTTTCTTGGACACAATGTCCATTCCTGCCTTTGAAACTCAACCCCTGTATGCAACCTTATCAGACTGACATCGATCAAATTCTGATCATTCTACTCATCTACCAATAACCTATAAATCTATATCTCTTTCTCTACTCTGTGACTGGCCATATAGCTGTCTACATATTGCTGTGAATGTGATATAAACAACACACATATACATATATGCTTAATTTTATAACGCCCAACTATGCCCTATACTTTATGTGTGTTACATAATCTTTGTAACTATTTTGGTATAGTCCTCATAACTATATGCATTTTACAGATGGAGAAAGTGTGAGTCAGAGATGTTAAGCAGCCAAGCTAGGACACAAACCCACGTCTCTGACTTCATATCTATACACTAACTACACTTCACTGTCTCCTTCAAGAGACTGTAAAGTGCTTACTGCTGATTCAACTAACACTGACTGAATGCCTGCCTATGGCTGGGGCACCTCACATCTGTTACCTTGTTTCCTCTCCCAGTGATGCTACAGGGTAGGTACTATTACTCCCATTTTTCAGATGAAGAAACCAAAACTTCCGAAGTAACCCCTATTTTTTTCAAAGATTTTATTTGAGAGAGAGAGAGCACGAGCAGGGGGAGGAGCAAAGGGAGAAGCAGACTCCCCACCGAGCAGGGATCCCAATGTGGGACTCGATCCCTGGAGCTCAGGATCATGACGTGAGCGGAAGGCAGAAGCTTAACCAACTGGAGCCACCCAGGCGTCCCAGTAACTCCTATTTTGAAAGCTAGGCTGAATATGTGCTTCAGATTTAAGCAAACAGAAACTGTATGTTTCAGTGTAAAAAACAAAACCAAATGCATATGATACATTAATGCACCTCCACAAGTCAGCAGTCTTGAAAGCACAGAATGTGATATAAGCTCTCAGTGCAAGGTAATACTTTTAGTACCATTTAATGTATCTGCTCTTGTTCTGGTAGCGGGGGCGGCGGGGGTGGGGAGGAAGTCATGAATAAACTGCACTATCCTTCAAAGCTCATGTAAAGTAATTAGCTTAATAAGGGATCCTTAAGTCCTATGCCTCTGGACAGAGATCTGAAGAAACACAGCAGGAATGTTAATTAAAAAAAATTAAGAAAAGTTTATCAAGTTGGAACTGTTGTTATTTAACAATAATTTTACAACTAAACAGTTTCTGTAGGTCACTACAGATGTTTACAGAATGAAATGTATTTAGCAATGGAATATAAGTCCAGACAATGGTTTTCTTTTGGTGAAAACTGGTCTTGAAAAAGTAGAGAAAAAGTGGAAGCCTTCCAGAGCTGCTGGTGGGAAAAGAACACAAAGATGTCAGCAGTTGCAGGAAAACGGCAATGCGAGTTTTTTTTCTTCCAATGTGAATAACACATTGAAAGCGTACCTCACACCAAGAGTTTTTCCAACACCAAGAAGGTAGCTTAACTCCTGGAGTCTGTGGTTTGGGGAGATGGGCCAATGCTGAGCCTCTGACTTCAAATCCTAAAGGTCCGTGAACCACTTCTCAGAGACCAGTATCTTCCACTCCCAGCATACCGGAGGGCCAGGTGAGGAGAAGGTAAGACATTGAGAAACAGAAGTGATTTGGGGAAGGTATGTACTCTGGTGAGTGCTGTGTATTGTGTAAGACTGCTGAATCACAGACCTGTACTCCTAAAACAAATAATACATTATATGTTAATTAAAAAAAAAGAAAGAAAGAAAGAAAAGGAAGTGATTTACAGCACGGAATAAGATGGTGCTGGCCTAGACTTTTTTTCAAAGCTGATTTGTCAGGACATTGCCTTGAGCCTACATCATGGCTGGGCACTGCAGTCAATACAAAATTAATGGGGCACCTGGGTGGCTCAGTTGGTTAATAAGCATCTGCCTTCAGCTCAGGTCATGATCTCGGGGTCCTGGGACAAAGCCCCACTTCTCCCTCTCCTTCTGCCCCTTCCCTTCACTTGTGCTCTCTCACCCTCTCTCTCAAATAAGTAGATGAAATCTTTAAGAAAAAAAAAACCCACAAAATTAGTGAATGCTTTTTACTAAGGGAGGTCGCCAGGAGGGAGGAGAGCAGTGTAGTAGTGTTAATAATTAAGAGGGTAAATTGTTAAGTGTTTTGAGTATTCTAGGAACGAGGTATGAATAATCTAAGAAAAGACAAAACATGAAACTTGGTTATGAATTAGAGAGAATGAAATGTTACAATGATGAATTATATTTGTCCAGGGTATCATTCCCTTCATTGTCCATCACTGGTTGGCACAGCAGAGCATACCTCCATCTTTTTCACCAGATAGCTGGGCTCAGTCCCCTAAGGTGGAGGTGACACCTCTGAAGGGACAAAGAGCAAAGTGTGAAGCACACACTCTGGAGCTAGACTAGAGTCTGGGTAAATTCGGCTCTGCCACTTACTGGTTGTGGTTTAACTTCTCTGGGACCTACTTACCTTACCTGTATAATGAGGTTAATAATACTTCCTATCTCACAAGATTCTTGTATCAAATGAGCAAAGCCTAAAGATTAGAAAAGCACTGGGAACTGGTAAATATTATATAAGTATTTGGTAAATAAGTTCCTACTTTGGCACTGTTCTAGGCACTGAGGAGATCATTTGAGGGTTTTCGAAAAGCTTACCCATTATCTCACTTGATCTAGAAAATTCTAAGGTAGTCAGAGCAAGCAATATTTGTCTCCGCTTTTAACATGTAAGGAAGCTGGGGTGCCTGGGTGGCTCAGTTGGTTAAGCGACTGCCTTCGGCTCAGGTCATGATCCTGGAGTCCTGGGATGGAGTCCCGCATTGGGCTCCCTGCTCAGCAGGGAGTCTGCTTCTCCCTCTGACCCTCCCCCCTCTTATGTGCTTTCTCTCTCTTTCTCTCATTCTCGCTCTCTCAAATGAATAAATAAATAAAATCTTTTTAAAAAATAATAATAACATGTAAGGAAGCTGAAGTCTGAAGAGGTAGAGTGAGTAATGTGACCCAAATTAACAGTGGAGGGGTCAAGACTGGAACCCAGTTTTCTCAAGTGTTTAGCTCATGGTCTATCCAACATCAAGGCTAAGAATTCTAGACCACTCTGGTTTTCTGGGGCCCTTTTTCTGTCCAATCTCATATTCCTACCTTGCCCTCCTCACCCAAATACAGCACCTGCCCCTACTCTATCTATTACAGTTGAGTCTTTATCTCTCAACCGTGGAACATTCCTCTTCTCTTTACATGGGCTCTGGGCCAAAAAGGGCAAAGTTCTGTTCTTATTTATGGTGGCCTTGCAACATCAATATTGTGAAACACACACAAAAATCTGGTCACACAACCCTCAGCCATGACTCTGCAATTTCATACCTTCTAAAACAAATGTAATGCTACCACAAGATTAAAAAAAGATAATTCAATGGCCTTGTTGCTGTTTATCAATTCTAGATTTTTTGAAAGGGACAAGGTGATTGCAGACTTGGCCTCCTACACTTTGGAGCCTGGGTCCTAGGGAGAAAATGCTGGGGACCCTGGGAGAATGTGAGGTAAGGCTGTTCTCAGGGGCCTCTGCTGATCTTTCCCAGCCTCACTGAGAAACTCCACTCTAAAACAAACCCTTAGAAAAAATTGTACTTTTCTGCCACCAAGAGCAATATTCAAATTGGGACTGATTTGCCACTTAAAAAAATGACCAAAGTCCCTACATAGTCCTCTTATTTGGGGAACAGCAAAGGACAGCAAACCCTATTACTATCTTAATTCCCAGTACAGTAAGCCCCCAGGGGGGATGCAAAAAGTGTGTGTAGTTTGGTATTCACGGGAAGCTAAGGCCCTGAAGAACTCTAGTCTTAAACGGCAAAAGTCGGAAAGGCTATAAGCTGGAGGATCTGGGGAATTTTCCATGTGCCCCTATAACAATGCTTAATTATAAGCCACTTGGCACTCTCTTGGAGAGAAAGCAGACAGAGGGCAAAGGAGAAAACAAAAGGGTGCCCAGAATACTAAGAGGCCTTGGGACTATTTCGAAGAAAGCAAGGAGATGGGAGATTTGCATGCACCTTCTCTCCGATGCCCCGGGCCCGCCATAACAGTAATACCCGAGGCCTCACCTCCCAAATAAGGGTTTCCCATGGCTTCCTCCTCCAGACTGGGGGGCTGGCTATAATATCACAAAGTTTAATCTATGTCCTCCTGCACTTTGTTATTGTCGTTATATTATTATTACTAAACTTGCCAATGTTCCTCTTGCCTAGCAAAGTGAACCACGAGGAGCAAATCCTTCTTGTACTTCAGTAGGTGCAAAGGCCAATTTTCCCAGGGCCGCTGCAGGATTCCACACCCTTCGGTTGAACAGAAGTTGCCTAACTTGTAGCAACTTCATATATTACTACAATTTGCACACAGAGGGTAGAGCACACAGAGACTCCGGGGCTAGACTAGGGTCAGGGTGAATGCGACTCCGCCACTGACAGGTTGTGATTTAACGTCCCTGGGACCCCAGAGTTCCAGGGGGCCCATTCAAAGTGGACGCTCGCGTGGCTTGAGAATAAAAAGTGAGTAACTCACTACTTAAACATGAAAGGACTTAACTCTCTTAAGTTTCTTTCCTGGAGTTTGTCCTCGGGTAAAATTTACCTACCAGGGTACAGGGACTCAACTCCGTTTCAGAGGCGACGGATTGAAAAGCCAGAGCTTAGCCCCTACAGAGAACAAAGAAGTTTCACGCGGGAAAAGACTTTTCAAGCCCACCCCCTCCACCCACTTTGCTCCTTCCCGCCCACCGCCCTCGGAGCACCCATTCCTTGCGCGTCCCTTCCCGGGCACGTACGGTGAGTCCCAGTAAGAGTGCAGCGGCAGCGAAGCTGTCCCAGCCGGTGGCTCGCGGGGGCACTGCGGTGACTTTTACCGCTCGGGGAGGCGGGTCGCAGGCGCCGCGCCCACTCTGGCCAATTTCCAGTTAATTCTCTCTCCGGAGCTTCAAGCCCGACTCCCAGCCTCGCCAAGCACCTCCCCTAATTGGCCTGACTTTTTTTTTTTTTTTTAGATTTTATTTATTTATTTGACAGAGAGAGACACAGCCAGAGCAGGAACACAAGCAGGGAGAGTGGGGGAGGGAGAGGCAGGCTTCCGGAGCAGGTAGCCTGATGGGGGGGCTCGATCCCAGGACCCCGGGGATCACGACCTGAGCCGAAGGCAGATGCTTAACAACTCAGCCACCCAGGCGCCCCTGGCCTGACTTTTTTGTGCAAGAGTAATCACTGCCCATCCGTTCCCTTCTTTGACCCCCTGTGGCGCCTGGTGGAAGCCTTTCTTCCCGGTTCCCCTATTCAGTGGGGAGGAGATGTTGGCAGTTAGTATCAGACCTCCGTGTCCTTGGACTTTGCAAGCACGCCAGTGGGAAAGCAAGGAAAAAGCGGTTAACTTTTATTTAGCTGGAAACAATTTTTTTTAAAGGTTTTAATGTTGAATTTTGAAAGCTTTAAAAGCTTTATAGAAGATTTAAATCTCTAGGGGGAAAAAATGATGAGAAATCATTCATAAAATTACCTTCCATTGAACTTCACTTTCCCTGCATCCGTGGCTGGCAAAGCCTGGCTCGGACACAATGTAATGTTCAATAAAGATCACCTATAGTCTTCCAAACCTGTAATCCCAAGCAGCTTGCTTCTTCACTCTGTCCCCTCATGTTCAGGATCCAAAATGGAAATGGAGGAGATTATACTGGATCAGTTCATTACACGATCAGCTCAGTATGGTTTTTGCAGGGACATTCAGGGGAGTGTTTTAGGAAAGCATGGTTATTCTAACATCAATATCTAGATTAGGGATATTTCTAAGCTTCCTAGTCCCCACAAAAATATGTATGGATCTAGCTTCCATGGTTTTATCTAAAACTATTAAAGATTTATGTTTTCAATCTATGTTATTTCTCTCCTGGTACTACTTCTCACATTTACCACCTGCTGTGTAGTATACTTCCTTTTTTTCTTTCTTTTTGTCCTAATTTTATCTCCTTCAGGTTTTAAGGGGTGTCCTCAGGACTAGCTAGCTAAGATTTGATAGACAAGTCCGTGTTCTACCAAAAAAGGAAGTAAGACTTACCAGTTTGCTCTAGGAAGCAGAAATTAATCACAAACCTGAGAACAATTTCTATATAAGCCTATCAGTAGAGTATTGGGAAATCTAACATCAGAAGATAGTAGTGCTTCATTTTCAGGTCTATATCTTTTGAAAAATGTGTTTATTTACTTATCTCAGTAAAGTACTCTGGAACCTGGCCTTAACACTAACTGGAATAGGACAGACTTTGAGATGAGCCTATTCTGAATTCTCACCACAGGAGTTTAATACTCTTAATTTATTATGAGGTGATACAGCCCAAACCATAACATTATAGAAAAAGGTACAGAGAGCTATTATTAAATAATTTGACCTACAGAATTCCATTTGAGCAGTTCTAACATGTTTTTGAAAAGAAGGGAGCACCTGACTCATCTGATGCTCTAATTATAAGATGTAATCAAACTTAACTAATCAATGAATAAATCTTGAGTTCCTGCCATCAATAAACCATGAACAATTATTGCCTGTCTGTTATATATATAACACTGTCTTTAGTACAACATCAGTACTTAACAGTAATAAATTTAATTCAAAAGACATTTATGAAGTGAATACAAGGCACTTGGCTTGATGCTAAAATCTGAAACTCAGATAAATAACATCAAATAATTTTGCTCAAGGAGTTTATAATCTAGTAAACACAAAGGCCAGAAAAGTACAAAGGCCACCAAACTTGAGGAAGAAAATATTTCAATTGAGAAATGAGAATGACAGTTGCGGTAGGAACTAGGGCAGTAAAGAATTTACACTTTTTATTCATCTTTGTTATAAGCCCTTAGATGAGTACAGAACAGAAAGAGTTTTTATCCAGCTTGTTTTATTTCGGGTAAAGGGAGGGGTTCAGACTTTGAACCCTTCTCCTCACCATCATTTTAAGTCTACAGTAAAATCTTTCAGGAAAATTCAACTCAAACTTTAGGACAAGTAATTCCCTAGTAAATATTAAAACAGTTTAAAAGGTCAATGATTTGGAGTGGGAGAGCAAAGGTCACTCAGCAGAGTAGCTGCCATAACAAAGAAAAGGGGGATCAGGTCGGAAAGGTCTAGAAGAATAAAGCATTTGCAGCCTACTAGTTCTTACCTTTTAAAAAACCCACAAAGGAGAAATATCAGAAAGGATTGTCATTACCACAAGACAAGGCTTACTGTAAGTGGGAAGGGATCAGGTGCCCATCATTTCTTGTAATTATCTTAGATCTTTGTTTTTTTTCTAAATCCACAGGAAAAGTTCCCCCATAATCTGAAACTAAGGGTGCATATCCTTCATGAAGATTTGTGTAAACATGCATGAGAACTTTTAAAATTAAGGGAACCAAAAAGTGAAATAAAAATAAGCAACATTCTAAGCATACAAATTTTTTTAAAGGTTTTATTTATTTATTTGAGAGAGAGCACAGGCTGGGGTAGTGGGAGAGGGAGAAGCAGACTCTCCATTGAGCAGGGACCCTGATGCGGGACTTGATTCCAGGACCGTGGGATCATGACCTGAGCCGAAGGCAGATGCCTAACTGATTGAGCCACCCAGGTGCCCCTAAGCATACAAATTTTATTTTAGAATTATAATATGCTTTTTAGGGCACCTGGGTGGCTCAATCTCTCTCTCAGATAAATAAATAAAGCCTTTAAAAATATATAATATGCTTTTCAAAAGGATACTAGATTGTTTATCTCTCCCAACAATCCTGTAACAGAGTTCTTATTTTTCCTATTTTACATATACGCACTCTGAGATCCAGAGCAATTTGGAAGCTCTACCAACTTCGAAAATAAACTCTAAGCCTAAAACCTACAGGAGGTAAAAGTAGCCAAAATGAGAGGAACAGGACTAAAAAATAATAAAACTCATGAAACTAGTCAAGAGAATATGGCAAAGCTATATGACAGGTAGATCAAAAGAACACAATAGAGTCCAGAAATAGAATCACACTTAATTCATCAACTGATTCCCAAAAAGGTGCCAAAGCAATTCAGTGGATAAAGGAAAGTTTTCAACAAATGGAGTTGGAACAACTGGATAGCCATATGGAAAAAAAATGTACTTCAACTCTAGTTCATACCATATACAATAATTAATCCAACATGGATCATAGACCTAAAGACTAACACTAAAACTTCTGGAAGAAAACAGGAAAATACCCTAGGGGTAGACAAAGATGTCTTAGACAAGGCACAAAAAGCATTATCTATAAAAGAAAAAAAATATTAATAAAGTGGACTTCATCAAAACTGAAATCTCCTAGTCAAAAACTATCATTAGGATACAATGGAATATTATGCAGCCATCAAAAAACTGAAATCTTGCCATTTGCAATGATGTAGATGGAACTAGAGGATATTACGGTAAGCAAAATAAGTCAATCAGAGAAAGACAAGTATCATATGATCTCACTGATATGAGGATTTATTTTATTTTATTTTATTATGTTACGTTAGTCACCATACATTACATCATTAGTTTTTTATGTAGTGTTCCATGATTCATTATTTGCGTATAACATCCAGCGCTCCATTCAATACGTGCCCTCTTTAATACCCGTCACCAGGCTAACCCATCCTCCCAACCCTGATATGAGGAATTCTTAATCTCAGGAAACAAACTGAGGGTTGCTGGAGTGGTGGGGGGTGGGAGGGACGGGGTGGCTGGGTGATGGACATTGGGGAGGGTATGTGCTACGGTGAGCGCTGTGAATTGTGTAAGACTGATGAATCACAGATCTGTACCTCTGAAACAAATAATACATTATATGTTAAAAAAAAAAAAGAAGAAGATAGTAGGAAGGGAAAAATGAAGGGGGGAATCGGAGGGGGAGACAAACCATGAGAGACTATGGACTCTGAGAAACAAACTGAGGGTTCTAGAGGGGAGGGAGGTGGGGGGATGGGTTAGCCCAGTGATGGGTATTAAGGAGGGCACATATTGAATGGAGCACTTGGTGTTATACACAAACAATGAATCATGGAACACTACATCAAAAACAAATGATGTAATGTATGATAATTAACATAACATAATAAAATAAAATTTAAAAAATATATCATTAGGAAAATTAATAGGCAAGCACAGACTGAAAGAAAATATTCTCAATACATTTATCTGACAAAGAACTTGTATGCAAAATATACAAAGAATACCTATAATAATTAAGAGACAAAATATACAATTAAAAATAGAAAAAATATGCAAAAGATTTGAATAGACACTTCACAAAAGAAGTTATATGACTATCTAAGAAGCAGATATAAAGGTGCTCAATGTCATTAGTATTCAGAGATATGCAAATCAAAACCACAATGAGATACTTCTTCCCAAACATTAGAATGACAAGAATTAAAAAGACAGACAAAATCAAATATTGATGGGGGTGTGAAGTAAATGGGATTTTTACACATTGACTGTGAGAGTATGAAATGGAACACCCACACTAGAAAAACTGGTTTGTAGTTTCCTATAAAGATAAACATAGATCTAGGCTATCATCCAACACTTCCACCCTGAGGTATCACTCAAGAGAAATGAGGACATATAGACACAAAGAGAATTGTTTAAAAATTTTTTTGCAGCTTCATTTGTAATTGCCAAAACCTGGGAAAACCTAAATGTCCATCAGCAGAAGAGAAAACAAATTTTGGTAACATTCATACAGAAATACTAACTAGGTCTCAAAAAATATTAAGAAAGTACTGACACATAGTAACATGGCTGAATTTCGATACTATGTCAAGTAAAAGAAACATTTACATGAAGTTCAAAGACAAGTAAAACTAATCTGTAATCACAGAAATGAGAAAAGTGGTTGTTTGTGGTGGGATGGGGTGCCAATTGGCTGAAAAAGAGCATAAGAAAATTTTCTGGAGTGATA